AGCTGGCTGTCGCAAAACTCGTTATGATGTACTCTGTCGTAGCAGCAGTTCGAGGCTTAGCGTTATCGCGCAGCAATTTCACGGAACGTCCGTCTTAATCAATAGCCTGACGATCGGATCTTGTCAAAATTGTAAAGACACGCGATATTCTTCCGTGATTCTCTTACAAAAAGCAAGAAGAAATACTTGGATCGAAGAACGAGCGGTATTTGTTTTTTAAATGAACGTTGAATTTCGCTGTAAAATTGGAATTGTTCGGTCGTACGCCTAATACGTAATCCCGAACTCGTTTAATTGTATCGCGTACAGTTTATCTCTATTGCTCTTCGTAATACAGAGTTTAAAAATACATTTCTTGCACTTTGGAGCTTTATATAAATATAAAACGGCTTTCGAATTTTTATTTCAAATGGTAATAACGAAATAAGTTACAAATTACAAAATCTGGTACAAGCGCTTCCACGCTCAGAATTGTAACTGCGCGTCATACGGTATAGTACCATTATGGAAAATCGTAGAACTATAGTGGAAGAATAATTTGTAAGACATTCTTCGGAACGACGTTACAGATCTGTGTCCGAACGTTGTTGATAGACAAGGTTACACGGAACGATGACCACGAGATACTAGAAAATCCGAGACATCGCTATATCGGGAGATGAGCGTTAAAGTGGCTGCAAAACAACGTAAATCTACGATAACATAGAACATTATAGAACGGTATAAATCAGCCAGAATTTCTGACAACCTCGCTCCGTTCTTCTGGAACGGTTCACCGACTAAGATTCAATTTTTGTCGCCTCGAGTCACACCGTAATCGTATATCACCGTCGAATAATACGTATACGAGTGATCTGTAAATAATACGTGGAACTTAAGCGTGGTACAAATTGCTTTCCAGCGGTCGGCCGAGCGGCTTTAGCGGACGTGCAACCTTTCGCCAGCACAAAGCGCCTCTTCTACCGAAGAAGCTTTTTCCGCCCCGTGCTTTCTTTACCGCCTTGCCATTTCGACGGCTTAAGGCCTTCCGATGCGGCCCTCGACCAACGACCTTCTAACAAGATATAATATTTATATCAACCGGTGAAATATTCTCCCCTCGTCGTTTGTAAATATGGAGGCCGTTTCGTTCAACAGCTCGGTAATTTGGTCCTGGCCGTGGTAATGGCCAAAGGCATAATAATTCCGAGTACGACACGCTAACTTTCATGGTAGTATAATATACCAAGACTATTGCGACTCGTCGTTGGTTTTATGCAAATGCAATGCCATGTGCCGCTACAGATTTGATTCGACGTGGTAGTAAGACGTTATTACGTTCGTCAAACTCGTGCTACGTTCTTCCGGTCATAATCGTATTTTTCGTAACGTTAAGAAATATCTTGAACTTGGACGTATGACGGAACTGTTATTATTCGGTATACATGTTTTTACTCGTTGAAACAAGAACAGCATTGAAGTATAGATTCGATCAGCGTGTCATACTACGTGTCATACTACTTCCAATTTTGTATTAAACGGTGAAAATCTTTTTGCTTGTAGAAAGCACAGTAGGTTTCAATTATGCGAATACACTAAGACGAGTTAGGTCGATAAATCGACCAGTATTATACAACACGAATTTTCCTTCCAATTTTATATTAAACATTAAGACTTTTTTTGTTCGTCGCAACAGCAATAGCATCGAAGTATGCAAATTCCCCGGTCGTCTGTAAAAATCCAACAGCTCCATGATCCCCTCGAAACCATCGATGAAATACACGTCGTAATCAGTTCGATCCGAAAGGTACGGCGTGATGGAAAGTCGTATTTCCGGTGCTGGCATTCTCTTGCACGTCCTTCTTCCCATTTACATTTATATCGACATTTTTCATTGTTTCTAGGTGTGTACGATCAGCTACAGAGATGGACCTCGCGTCTCTTCTTCATCCTGATGGAATCCATAGATATTATTGGCTTGGCAAGTGATTACAGATTTTGTCATTAGGTGGTAATGACAAAAATAATGACACGTCTCTTCTTCACCCTGATGGAATCTATAGATATTATTGGAACGGCAAACAAGTGATTACGGATTTTGTCATTACCACCTAGTGAAGTGGTGTTGGATGTAACTGCCCAAGAAATACTCTTGATCAACAAAAAAGGCTTCAGTTAACAATCAACAATCAACAATCAACACTCAACAATCAACAATCAACAATCAACAATCAACAATCAACAATCAACAATCAACAATCAACAATCAACAATCAACAATCAACAATCAACAATCAACAATCAACAATCAACAATCAACAATCAACAATCAACAATCAACAATCAACAATCAACAATCAACAATCAACAATCAACAATCAACAATCAACAATCAACAATCAACAATCAACAATCAACAATCAACAATCAACAATCAACAATCAACAATCAACAATCAACAATCAACAATCAACAATCAACAATCAACAATCAACAATCAACAATCAACAATCAACAATCAACAATCAACAATCAACAATCAACAATCAACAATCAACAATCAACAATCAACAATCAACAATCAACAATCAACAATCAACAATCAACAATCAACAATCAACAATCAACAATCAACAATCAACAATCAACAATCAACAATCAACAATCAACAATCAACAATCAACAATCAACAATCAACAATCAACAATCAACAATCAACAATCAACAATCAACAATCAACAATCAACAATCAACAATCAACAATCAACAATCAACAATCAACAATCAACAATCAACAATCAACAATCAACAATCAACAATCAACAATCAACAATCAACAATCAACAATCAACAATCAACAATCAACAATCAACAATCAACAATCAACAATCAACAATCAACAATCAACAATCAACAATCAACAATCAACAATCAACAATCAACAATCAACAATCAACAATCAACAATCAACAATCAACAATCAACAATCAACAATCAACAATCAACAATCAACAATCAACAATCAACAATCAACAATCAACAATCAACAATCAACAATCAACAATCAACAATCAACAATCAACAATCAACAATCAACAATCAACAATCAACAATCAACAATCAACAATCAACAATCAACAATCAACAATCAACAATCAACAATCAACAATCAACAATCAACAATCAACAATCAACAATCAACAATCAACAATCAACAATCAACAATCAACAATCAACAATCAACAATCAACAATCAACAATCAACAATCAACAATCAACAATCAACAATCAACAATCAACAATCAACAATCAACAATCAACAATCAACAATCAACAATCAACAATCAACAATCAACAATCAACAATCAACAATCAACAATCAACAATCAACAATCAACAATCAACAATCAACAATCAACAATCAACAATCAACAATCAACAATCAACAATCAACAATCAACAATCAACAATCAACAATCAACAATCAACAATCAACAATCAACAATCAACAATCAACAATCAACAATCAACAATCAACAATCAACAATCAACAATCAACAATCAACAATCAACAATCAACAATCAACAATCAACAATCAACAATCAACAATCAACAATCAACAATCAACAATCAACAATCAACAATCAACAATCAACAATCAACAATCAACAATCAACAATCAACAATCAACAATCAACAATCAACAATCAACAATCAACAATCAACAATCAACAATCAACAATCAACAATCAACAATCAACAATCAACAATCAACAATCAACAATCAACAATCAACAATCAACAATCAACAATCAACAATCAACAATCAACAATCAACAATCAACAATCAACAATCAACAATCAACAATCAACAATCAACAATCAACAATCAACAATCAACAATCAACAATCAACAATCAACAATCAACAATCAACAATCAACAATCAACAATCAACAATCAACAATCAACAATCAACAATCAACAATCAACAATCAACAATCAACAATCAACAATCAACAATCAACAATCAACAATCAACAATCAACAATCAACAATCAACAATCAACAATCAACAATCAACAATCAACAATCAACAATCAACAATCAACAATCAACAATCAACAATCAACAATCAACAATCAACAATCAACAATCAACAATCAACAATCAACAATCAACAATCAACAATCAACAATCAACAATCAACAATCAACAATCAACAATCAACAATCAACAATCAACAATCAACAATCAACAATCAACAATCAACAATCAACAATCAACAATCAACAATCAACAATCAACAATCAACAATCAACAATCAACAATCAACAATCAACAATCAACAATCAACAATCAACAATCAACAATCAACAATCAACAATCAACAATCAACAATCAACAATCAACAATCAACAATCAACAATCAACAATCAACAATCAACAATCAACAATCAACAATCAACAATCAACAATCAACAATCAACAATCAACAATCAACAATCAACAATCAACAATCAACAATCAACAATCAACAATCAACAATCAACAATCAACAATCAACAATCAACAATCAACAATCAACAATCAACAATCAACAATCAACAATCAACAATCAACAATCAACAATCAACAATCAACAATCAACAATCAACAATCAACAATCAACAATCAACAATCAACAATCAACAATCAACAATCAACAATCAACAATCAACAATCAACAATCAACAATCAACAATCAACAATCAACAATCAACAATCAACAATCAACAATCAACAATCAACAATCAACAATCAACAATCAACAATCAACAATCAACAGTCAACAGTCAACAGTCAACAGTCAACAATCAACAATCAACGGTCAACAGGTCAGCGGTCAACCGGTCAGCGGCCAACGGTGAACGGTCAACGGTCAACCGGTCAACCGGTCAACGGTCAACCGGTCAACGGTGAACGGTCAACCGATCAACCGGTCAACGGTCCACCGGTCAGCGGTCAACGGTCAACGGTCAATGGTCAACGGTCAACCAGTCAACTGGTCAGCGGTCAACCGGTCAGCGGTCAACCGGTCAGCGGTCAACCGGTCAGCGGTCAACCGGTCAGCGGTCAACCGGTCAGCGGTCAACCGGTCAGCGGTCAACCGGTCAGCGGTCAACCGGTCAGCGGTCAACCGGTCAGCGGTCAACCGGTCAGCGGTCAACCGGTCAGCGGTCAACCGGTCAGCGGTCAACCGGTCAGCGGTCAACCGGTCAGCGGTCAACCGGTCAGCGGTCAACCGGTCAGCGGTCAACCGGTCAGCGGTCAACCGGTCAGCGGTCAACCGGTCAGCGGTCAACCGGTCAGCGGTCAACCGGTCAGCGGTCAACCGGTCAGCGGTCAACCGGTCAGCGGTCAACCGGTCAGCGGTCAACCGGTCAGCGGTCAACCGGTCAGCGGTCAACCGGTCAGCGGTCAACCGGTCAGCGGTCAACCGGTCAGCGGTCAACCGGTCAGCGGTCAACCGGTCAGCGGTCAACCGGTCAGCGGTCAACCGGTCAGCGGTCAACCGGTCAGCGGTCAACCGGTCAGCGGTCAACCGGTCAGCGGTCAACCGGTCAGCGGTCAACCGGTCAGCGGTCAACCGGTCAGCGGTCAACCGGTCAGCGGTCAACCGGTCAGCGGTCAACAAACCGGTCAATCAGTCAACCGGTCAACTGTCAACCGGTCAACGGTCAACCGGTCAACCGGTCGACGGTCAACCGGTCAACTCAACAGTCAACAGTCAACAGTCAACAGTCAACAGTCAACAGTCAACAGTCAACAGTCAACAGTCAACAGTCAACACTCGACAGTCAACAGTCAACAATCAACAATCAACAATCAACAGTCAACTTGTCAACCGGTCAATCGGTCAACCGGTCAGCGGTCAATCGGTCCACCGGTCAGCGGTCAACGGTCAACGGTCAACGGTCAACCGGTCAACCGGTCAATTGGTCAACCGATTAACGGTCAAGCGGTAAATGGTCAACCGGTCAACGGTCAACGGTCAAGCGGTCAGCGGTCAACCGGTGAACGGTCAACGGTCAACAATCAACAATCAACACTCCACAATCAACAATCAACAATCAACAATCAACAATCAACAATCAACAATCAACAATCAACAATCAACAATCAACAATCAACAATCAACAATCAACAATGGTCAACGGTCAACCGGTCAGCGGTCAACCGGTCAACGGTCAACGGTCCACC